AAGAAAATCTATGTGCTCTTGGGTTCAACAAAACTTTCTTACATGTACCAACAAAAACATGATCTATAGAAGAAAAAAAATTGATAATTTAAACTTCATCAAAATTAAAAATTTCTGAGGGTACTTGATGGGATGAGGACTGGATATTTTACTGTATGTTGGCAAATTTAATTTATATAAAATATTTTTAAAATTTTTTAAATTTCTGCTTTTCAAAAGACACTCTTAAGAGAATGAAAAGACCAATCATAGACCAAGATTAAATATTTGAAAAATAACAGGTCGAATAAAGGATTTATTTAAAAGATTTTATTTATTTATAAGAGACAGAGAGAGGCAGAGACACAGGTAGAGAGAGAAGCAGGCTCCACATGGGGAGCTCAATGCGGGACTCGATCCCAGGACCCCAGGATCCTGACCTGAGCGAAAGGCAGATGCTCAACCACTGAGCTACCCAGGCATCCCTCCAATAAAGGATTTACATCCAGAGTATGTTAAGAATCAATACTCAGCTGTAACAAACAACCCAATTTTAAAAAATGGGCAAACGATTTGAATAGACATTTCACCAAGAAAGATACACAAATGGCACATTTGCACATAAAGAGATGTTCAACATTATTAGGAAAAATAAATTACATTAAGGTTCTACACAAATATCAGGATGGCTAAAGACTGACCAGACAGAGCTGATGAAAAGATGGAGAAAGGGGATCTCTCATAGACTGCTACTGGGAATGCAAACTAGTATAATCCCGTTAGACAGCAATTTAGTAGCTTCCAACATATTTAAACATGCATATTTCCAAGTATCCATTCATTCCATTCCTAGAATTTTAGAAATTAAAGTACATGTCCATATAAACACTTGTACATGGATATTCTCAGCAGCTTCATTTGTAGTTGCCCACAAGAAACAACTCAAAAGTCTATCAATAACTGAGTAAGCTGTGGTATATCACTATGAGGGAACTCTATTCAGCAATAAAAAGTGAACTACTGATACACATTGCAAAATGGAAAAATTTTTAAATTATGCTAAATGAAAGAAACCAGACCAGAAAATACAGACTGTATGATTCCGTTTTTATAAAATTCTAGAATACAAACTCACTTATAGTGAATAGAAGGCACCTCAGTGGTTGACTGGGACAGAGGGTAGAGAAGGGTATACAGAAGTCAAAATAGAGACAATAAAGTTTGTCATATTTAAAGTGTCAATATATCAAAGACATTTTCAAAAAGAATGAATGAGGGATCCCTGGGTGGCACAGCGGTTTGGCGCCTGCCTTTGGCCCAGGGCGCGATCCTGGAGACCCGGGATCGAATCCCACATCGGGCTTCCGGTGCATGGAGCCTGCTTCTCCCTCTGCCTGTGTCTCTGCCTCTCTCTCTCTCTCTCTCTGACTATCATAAATAAATAAAAAAAATTAAAAATAAATAAATAAAAATTCCCATCACCTTTAAAAAAAAAAAAACAAAAAGAATGAATGACAAATTACACCGATTAAAAATTAGGTATTTGAGGGGCGCCTGGGTGGCTCAGTTGGTTAGATGTCCAAGTATTGATTTCAGCTCAGGTCATGATCTCAGGGTCCATGTTGGGCTCTACACTGAGCCTGAAGCCTCCTTAAGATTTAAGATTCTCTCTCTCTCCCTCTTCCTCTGCCCACCCCTCCCCCACTTCCATGCATGCATGCTCTCTCTCAAAAAGGGAAAAGTAAAATTATGTACTTGACATTTTCTGAAATGAATGAAGCAAGCATGACACTTTAAGGAAAAAAAAAACAAAAACAAAAAAACAAAAACAAAACAAACAAAAAAACCTGATAGTGTTTGTTGCCAGTGACATAATCCAAGCTTTTAAGTGAAAATTAAAATTTTGGAAGACATGTATTTGTCACCGTGAACTTGATAGCTTCTTACTACCTGTCTAATGAGACATTGATGGCAATAATAAATGTCATCTTTTGAGGTTGTATAATGAATCTTGTCACTATCAGAGGACCCAGATAACCTGGTCCCTGGATATATTTCAAATGATCAAGCATGATGCTAAAAATCATGCATAAATAAAAGATTCATTCAAATTGCAAGTTCAATCAATGGAGTTAACATAACATTCATTCAAAAGATTCATTCAAATTGCAAGTTCAATCAATGGAGTTAACATAATAAAGTATGAAAAGTTCATTAAAGTGGTCTCAGATTCCATGTTGCAACTAACCTCTGAAAAAATTCAGCGAAATCTACTGTGCTAACACAGAATATGAATACAGCCTCCCAAAAATGGCCTACCCTAAGCCCTAGAACATATAAACACTTTTCTAATTACGTTGTCATTCGGCACAGGTGACCTAAAGATGGGAGGCTGACCACATGAGCCTAATCTAATCACATGAGACCTTTTCAAAAAAGGAGAGAATATTCTTTAGCTGCTAACAGAAGAAAGTTAAAATCAGACCACTTGAAGGATGTGACATGGTGGGTCTGAAAATGGAGGGACCATGGGTAAAGGAATATAGGAAACCTTAAGGAGACGAGAGACGCCTTCGGCCGATAGAAGAAAGAGAACCTTAGACCATTTCTCAGCTGCAAGGAACAGGATTCTGCTACCAACCTATAGGAGGTTGGTAGGGAATTCCTCCCCGTGACCAGAGAAGAGCTCAGTTTGAAATCCTGATTTTTGGCTTTGTGATACCCGGAGCAGATAACGCAATCAAGACTGCCTATATTTGTAATCTGTAGAACTGAGGTAATAAATGGACGTTGATTAAAGCTGCTAGGATGTATTCACTTGTTTCGCAGCAATAGAAAGCTAATACCTTTACTATTACTCAAAATACTCGTTAACTTGCACCCAACAATCCTACTGCTAAAAACTTACCCTATATAGTTTGAAATGACTCTTAGGTTATTACTCCAAAGATATTCATTCATCATTGTTTGTAAAAAAAAAAAATACATGTACATGTAAACAGAAACAACCAAAGTATCCATAAGCAGAAGATTGATTAAATTACATAAATCCATAAAGGGGAATATTCTGAAACTATTATAAAGATAGAATTATATGGATAAATATGAAACTATGAAACTCTAAATTATATTAATAAGATAAAAAAGATCTGAAGAGTATTAGAGTATATCTTTATAATTAAATTTAAAGGATGTGCATAAAAATCAGGTATCTGCATTAAATATTTTCCTGGAAACACACACACACACACAGATAGCAATCAGCTTTGGGAGAGGGTTAGATTATTGAGTGGGAAATTTTCATTTTTAATTTTCTGTCTTTCATTACATTTTCAATTTTCTAATTTTCTATTATTCTCATTCATTTAAAAATATTAATACAGGTTATTAGTGTCAGATAAACACAAACCTCCCTCTCCTGCAAAGCTATCTTCTTTTGTTCAAGTTGAACTTACTATCTGGCATTTGTCATCCATGCTGAGACCAAAATCACCTTCCCTCAACAACTCTGCTCTACCTTTCAAATCTAAGTTTCTCAGTAACATGCCTTATTAACAACTGGGGACTTCATTTGCACTTATCTGAAAATATGTTTATGTATATTATATTTAGTTAAAACTATAAGCTATTTAATTATTTTTAAAATTTTAGACCATATCATTTTTGATAACTATATTGAAAGCTACTTTAAGATATGGATCATAAATAGTGTAAACCATGCAAACATATAATATATCTTACAGTGCTATCCTGATGAGGATGAAAAGGATGATGATCCTAAACCCTGCAGTTATATAATAATAAGAACTATTTCAATAGCAAGCAAATCAATGTGATAAAAATGGGAACAACTAGCCTTAAATAATAGAACTATGTGAGCAATATCTAATGGGCAATCTATAATATCAGTTTTATTTACTGTATAATGAGATCTATTTTTCATGTTCCTTCAAATTTCTTTTTTTTTCTAAGATTTATTTATTCATAAGAGACACAGAGAGAGGCAGAGACACAGGCAGAGGGAGAAGCAGGCTCCCTGCAGGGAGCCTGATGGGGGACACGATCCTGGGACCTCAGGATCACGTCCTGAGCCAAAGGCAGACGCTTAACCACTGAGCCACCCAGGCGTCCCCTCAAATTTAAGATGACCAAATACTTGTTTAAGCAAATCCTTGTCAATTATTAAATATTTATAAATTTTACCACGATCAAATTTTATATTTTCTACCAAGACGATATACAGAGATAGTAACTTAAAAATATACTCCATCAGTTCAAGGTTATTCTTGATTTTTGGCAAAAGTGGTTAACCATAAGACCTGAAGGTGTTGAAAGTGACCAGAAAGAGAGGACAAATTCCTCAACAGATTACTTGTTTTTTTTATTTTTTTTATTTATGATAGTCACACAGAATGAGAGAGAGAGGCAGAGACATAGGCAGAGGGAGAAGCAGGCTCCATGCACCGGGAGCCAGACGTGGGATTCGATCCCGGGTCTCCAGGATCGCGCCCTGGGCCAAAGGCAGGCGCTAAACCGCTGCGCCACCCAGGGATCCCCAGATTACTTGTTTTATTTGTTCACTTATGAAAGACATTTGTAGTTCATAAGGAATTCAAAACACTATGGAATTTTACATACAGCCAAACAAGAGGATGTGTGGTATTGTACTTGGAAAATAACAAGGAACAAAATATAAGTTAGTACTATCACTGTTATAAAGTCAAGCCAAGTAGACTATTTTTATAAACAGCTTTCCTAACAAAAACGTACATAATTAAATTCAATGTGTAATCGCACTATAATAATCTCTCTCAAAAAAAAAAAAAGGTTGGCTGACATTTTCTAGACAATAGCAAAGTAACAGACTTTAAAATTTCTAGCATATGTACAGATCTTTGTCATCAGGAAAATGCTGAACAGAATTGTTGAGAACTTTACAAGGAGAAATCAAAGAGATTGAATGTATAAAAATAATAAAACATGACATTAAAATGTCATTGAGAAAACCTCTAAAATCTTACCTGGAACCAGTTCCATAATAATGTAGATAGGCTGTCTTTGTGTGCAAACGCCTATAAGTTTGACAATATTGGGATGATCGTATTGCTTGAGAATTCTGGATGAGAGAAAAGTATAAAAACAGTTATTGTTTAAAAACTAAAGCATTAAATCATGAATAGTGTGGCCAAGTAGAATATACTTTATTCAACATAATTTTCTTTTTAAAATTTTTGTATGAAGCCAAATTATGATAAATGATAGGATGTATACAAGTTTGGATAAATACTGGCAAACTACAGGTACAAACAATTCTCCTTGATTCAATTAAATTTTCATTTAATATTTACTATCTCCTTTGAATAACTAACAACCATGCTAACTATGAACAACTTAGTCCCAAACATACATAATTCCCTTCAAAGTATCTTGTTTAAGCCACTACCACGAAAGCATAACTGACAAGTATTAGTGGACCAAAAACTGTAAGCTGCTTGGAAGGCATCTTTTTGTTTTGTTGTATTTTAGGACATACTTTAATGAAAATACATAAATAATTTAATTCATATCAGTAAATGCAAATGGCTAATCATCGTGTTAGGTTTTGTAAAATACTCTCTTCATCATGTTCAATTTCAAAATTTGAGTTTGAGAGAAAACTGACCAAAGGTTAAACAATAATTGAGTAACAGTTTCAATACAGACTTGAGCTGAAGCAGAGGGACTCTACTTGGATAAAGACAAAATTTCACCAGAGCTATAAAAATAGAATAGCCTCATCCATGGCACTCCAAGCATAAGTTAAAAATAAATTATATTCCCTCATAGGCCTGTCTACTCTGAATATTTCTGTTACCAAATTTTATTCCAGATTAATTCACTGAAAAATATTTGAAAAATGCAGTTTTCTTTCCTAAAAGAATGAAAAAATGACTATTGGGAGAAAGATAAAATAGTTTATAAATGTCTTGTACAAGCCCAACTAAAGCAGAGATAGCTCTAAGAAAAACGTTTTAGATTGAAAATATATAAGGTTTTATAAAGGGAAAAGATAGAGTGGGAAAAATTCTAGAGATATGGAAAGTATCGTCACTAGCTTGGAGCTTGCTACTTCTACAAAGAATTAAAAATAAAGTCTTAGAATGGTTTGACTTTAATTCAAAATGTCATTTCTTAAGTTGGAAACTGCTTAGTAAAGAAAGCCCACAAAATAGCCAGGCTGAACTCAATATTAAATCTAAATATATAACTCTATCATCTATTTAATGACACTTGAGAGTTCCCATGCGTACAATTCTCATTTTTAACTTAAGACTTCCTAATTCTACTTTAGAAAATGGACTTCTCCATTGGACTTTATGAAATTTAATATTTTATTTTACAATAAAACAATCACAAATTAGAAAGCAAGAAAATTAATTTTTCAAAATATCTTAACAATCCCTAAGAATAACTATAAAATAATAAGCCTGTGAATCTCTATTGTGATAGTATGCTTTATCATAGCATTTTTTTTGACCTGCCAATAATGGACATTTAAAAGTTTACAACATTATTCTATAGATAATAATAAATGCATCCAACTAGGTTAATCCATTGTTATTGATACTCATTTTTAGATGATGAATGGAGAAATGTACATCAAAACACTCCATCCTATGGCACTTAGTTCTCTTGTTGCCATCACCTTGCTTCTCTGACACCACTTTATGGGAATTTCAATCTTATATACTATGCCATTATAGAGACACACCTCCATACATACACATACCCCTTTCCCTTTCTCCCTTTATACTGCAAATATCCACATATTCCCCTTCTTTGCATCTCAGAATGAGAGTCCATCATTACTCTGGCAAAAACATCTTCCCATTTGTCTCATACTATGTTGTATATACTGGATTTCATCACTAATAGAATAGTCTTAATCATACGCAATACAGGAGTAGCAAGTTAGAACATTAAATTTTAGTTAGTAAAAAAAAAAAAAAAAGGCAACCGACCTAGAAGATTTTAGAAAAGAAACGATGTGCAGATTTTGGAACAAATGCCCAACCATGAGTTGAAGAAGAATCTGAGCTTCTCAAAAAAGAAAGGTAAGAGCTCAGAAAATACAATCAACTGAAAACACTTAAGGAGGGTTAGATAGATATAATTATACATATCTAAATATAAATGCATAAATTATGTATTTGTATATGGAATATAGGATTTTTATTATAAAGACAATCATGACATTGCACATATACATGCTTATGTATATATGCGTGTGATAAAAACAAAAAATACTGCAATATTCCAATACTGAAGAATACTCAGTTTTTTAGCATCTGGTTCTTCTGACTATGATTGTGTAACTAATCTGTAGTTTAACTCAAAAACAAACTTTTTGTCAGAACATTGTCTAAGTGTTTACTTATGAGGGTTCTAAAAGTGCTTACCTCTACACTTCAGTAAATCATAATTTAAGATAATTCCAAACTTTACATTTAAAGTGGTCATAGATTATAAACACACATTTAATACTAATTTTGCAAACTCACTTGGCTTCTTGTAAAAATTTTATTTTCAGTTCCTGAGGAAGATCTTCTTTACATGTTTTAACAGCAACAGCAGTTTTATCCTTTAATATGCCCTTATATACTTCACCAAAATTCCCCTGAAAATACAAATACATTTACTGTTTGGGGTATAATACAGCCATATCAATCTTTGCAAAACACAAGGAAAGCACATAATAATGAATTGAGTTCATCAAAGTATTCTGTTAGCTTTACTCAGAATTTTAAGTGGAAATAAAGATCAGAAATATTGCTCTTACCAATCCTCCAACTTTAAAAATAGTACTCAACCTACCTACCCTTTTGGGGATTGAAACTTGAGGAGAACTGAAAAGGAAAAAAGGGGGAAAAAATTCCAAGAGACTAGGATAAAAGGAGAAACTCAAATCGAAGCCATCAGAAGCACTTAAGTTTCACATCTCTTAGTTCTCTTTACCCCCCAAGTTCTACATTTTATTAGATTAATTAGTTATCCACAGCCCAGGTGGCTCAGCAGCTTAGTGCCGCCTTCAGCCCAGGATGTGATCCTGGAGATCCGGGATGGAGTCCCACGTTGGGCTCCCTGCATGGAGCCTGCTTCTCCCTCTGCCTGTGTCTCTGCCTCTCTCTCTCTGTGTCTCTCTCATGAATAAATAAATATAATCTTTTTTTAAAAAGTTATCCATTAATGTTTCAAGATACAGCAAATATTCCAAGAGGTGACTGCTGGTCTGGATCTGGATCTGACAAAGCTAAATGTCAGTTGAAGAGTATAAGGAGATAGGGGAGAGGCAAGAGAACAAGGTGGACTAAGGAATGTCACCAGGCAGCAGTAGATTGTCAATTTCAGAAAGACATTAAGGAAGAGGAGGTGCTTACCCAAATGCCAGTGTCACCCATGTTGAGTTTGTATCAAATGTATGAATCCCTAACCTTAAGCGATGGCTCTAATCTATTTTGACTTAACATGTCTTATTTCAACTTTGTTTCCTATTAATAATAAAAAACAAATAACTTCAAAGTATTACAAAGAAGATCTAGAAAATTAATTTTTTAGTATTCAAGTTTTTATGTATGCATATATATTTCTTACATAATTACAATACTAATATGCAAGCATTAAAGCATTAAAATAAGCTTCAATGCTATTGTTGAGCAAGAAGTAACTGAACTAGGAGCCTGCTGGTTATTGGGTTTGAGTTTCTGTTTTTTTTTTTTTTTAAGATTTTATGTATTTATTCATGAGAGAGAGAGAGGTAGAGACACAGGCAAAGGGAGAAGCAGGCTCCCCCCAGGGAGCCTGATGCGGGACTCGATCCCCGCATTGGGGATCATGCTCTGAAACGAAGGCAGATGCTCAATCACTGAGACACCCAGGTGTCCCTGGGTTTGAGTTCTAAGAGCAATGTTACGCTTTTATTTTTTTTTTAAGATTTATTTAGTTTTATTCAGAGAGCAGGGAGAGGGGCAGAGGAAAGAATCTCAAGGAGACTCTCTGCTGAGCTTGCAGCCCCAAAGCAGGGCTCAATCCCATAACCCTGAGATCATGACTTGAGCTGACAACAAGAGTCAGACACTTAACTGGCTGAGCCACCCAGGTGCCCTGAGCAATTTAACTCTTAGTTCAAGGTGTGTAGATTTTATGTCATCAATAAACTTAAAATTGCTGAAATATTTCAATATATATTTTTAATATCTGTACATTTATTTACATTTTACATTTAATTTCTGTCAGCAAAGTTTCCTAACTTTTTCATTCTTCTTTTTTTTAAGTTACAGTGTAGTTAACAGTGTTATGTTAGTTTCAGGTGTACAATGTACTGATTCGGCAATTTCACGTATTACTTAGTGCTCATCGTCCTAAGTCTACTTTTGATCCCCTTCACCTATATCACTTATCCCCTACTCACCTCCCTTCTGGAAACTGTTCTTTATACTAAGAGTCTGGTTTTGGTTTGCCTTTTTTTTCTTTGTTCATTTATTTTGTTCCTTAAATTCCACACATGAGTGAAATCATATGCTATTTACCTTTCTCTGACTTATTAGCATTATACCCACAGGATCTACCCATGTTGTTGCAAATGGCAAGATTTCATTCTTTTTATTGCTGAATATACCAGTGTGTGTGTGTGTGTGTGTGTGTGTGTGTGTGTGTGTGTGTACACACATATATACACATCTTCTGTATCCATTCAGCAATCGATGGATAATTGGGAGGCTTCCCTATCTTGGTCGTTGTAAATAATGTTGCTATAGAGACAGGGGTGCATGTATCCCTCCCTCTGAATTAGTATTTTTGTATTCTTTGGGTAAATACCTAGTAATGTAATTGCTGGATTATAGGGTAGTTCTATTTTGGAATTCATTCATACTGAAATTCACAGCCCATCATCATTGACATTTTATCTTCAATGTATTCTTCGGTGATTCTCTTCACCTTTTTATTCTAACCAACTTGGCTCTCACTTGAGCACTCAAATGGTGGCTGAGCTTCCTTTTCCCTTCTGGACTGAAGCAATGATTTCCCTGTCACCCCTCCTCCTTCCACTGCCCTGGAGATGATATAAAGTCAACTATCTCCCTGTCACTGCTTTCAAACCATTTTCCCTCCTGCATCCCCAAAAACCAAGCTCTGAAACCTTATCATTTGATTATATATCCACTGCCCCCTTCAAATTCAGTTACTGAATTTGAAAATAGTTTCCTTTGTTTATTAACAATTTGAACTCCGGGAACACAGTACCCAGTGTTACTCCTGTCTTAGCTCTTATCAATTTCAATAGACACTTTAAAAGTACCTTCTAATTCCTCAAACCCTCAGTTTCTTGAATATAATTCTTCCAATAATCTTCTACTCCAACCTATTTTCTAGGATCATACCTTAAACTTTGCCACTGTTGGGGGTGCCTGGGTGGCTCAGTGCATTAAGTGTCCAACTCCTAATTTCAGATCAGGTCATGATCTCAGGGTTTTGAAATCAACCCCCTTACCGGGCTTCACGCTGGATGTGAGTCCTGCTTAAGATTCTCTCTCTCCTTCTCCCTTGGTCCCTTCCCCCTTCTCTAAATAAAAACAAACAGCTGCCAATAATGAACTCCACTGTAATACCTATTTTATTCATCCCATCTTCTAGCTGGCTTCTACATTCGCAGCTTACTTCCTCTAGTATCTAGACGCCAAAAATCCATTGACTCTATGGGAACTTCTGAGTCTTTAGGTCTTACCACTTTTGTTGGCTAACACCACCCTTAATGCCCTTCCTTCCTTATCCAGTTTATTTATTTCTTATTTTTTTTAAAGTTTATTTATTTATTCATGGAAGACAGAGCGAGAGAGAGAGAGAGAGGTAGGGACACAGGCAGAGGGAGAAGCAGGCTCCATGCAGGGAGCCCAACGTGGGACATGATCCCGGGTCTCCACCCAGGATCACACCCTGGGCTGAAGGCGGCGCTAAACCGCTGAGCCACCCAGGCTGCCCTCCTTATCCAGTTTAAATTGTACAGTCAGCAAATATAACTGCTTACCATACATTCTCAACTTCATTGCTCCTCTTAATCTATAAAACTCCCATCAAATCTACAATCCTTATTAAATTCAACACTCTGTCTAACTTGCACCTATGCTGCTAAATGTGGCTGAAGAAAATCCACAACCTCATTGACTGGTTTCCCTTTAAATTCATGGGCACAACCCTCCAGGGAGCTCTTAATGCTGCTCCAGCAATTTTCATCTCTCCCTCTAAAATCACCTGTTTTTCCCTAAATTATTTCCAACTGCAAACCACCATGCTGTTGTGTCTGAGGTGTTTTTTTTTTCATTTTTAAATTTAAATTCGATTTGCCAACATATAACATCCACTGCTCATCTTGTCACATGCCCTCCTCAGTGCCCATCAACCAGTTACTGCATCCCCCCACCCACCTTCCCTTCCGCAGCCCTTTGTTTGCCAGAGTTAGGGGTCTCTCAGGTTAAACAACACAATTCATTCTCTCGAAACGACTACCACATATCTCTAACTTCCTTTTGCAACAAAACTTCAAAGAGCTTCATCCTTGCTATCTCTAATTCTTCTCTTCTTGTTCTTTGTCTATTCCAATCTGGCTTTCTGCTAAAACACTCTCAGGAAACTGCTCAGCCAAATCACCAGTGGCCATATTGTTACTAAATTCAATGGTTAATTCTCAGTAATCATCTCATTTGACCTATCAGCATAATTCTGTATCACTGACCACTCTGTTTTCCCTGATATACTCTCTTCTCTTGGCTTCCAAGACATCTGATCTTCTGGTTTTCTACCTTTGTAATTGATTGCTTTCTCAGCCTCTTTTGGTGATTTCTTCTCTTGTCTGAAGCCTCATATTAACATAGTGACCAGGGTTCAGCCTCTTATTCTCTCCTCTGATAGAGAACCACGTACTGAAATCATCTAGTCTTATGGCTGTAAATGCCATTTATATATGGTGTATATATCCAACGTAATGTTATTCAACCATAAGAATGTGGGACATCTTGCCATTTGCCATAACACGGATGAAACTTGAGCACTTTATGATGTCAGATAAAGACAAATACTATATATACTATCACATTTATGAAATCTAAAAAAGCCAAAAAAAAAAAAACCCAAATCTAAAAAAGCCAAATTCATAAAAACAGAGTAAAATGGAGGTTACAGAGGATGGCGGGGGCATATAGGACTGACATTGTCTAAGGGCATAAACTAAACTTTTGAGAAACAAGCACTAGAGATCTAATACACAGGATAGTGAACATAAACAGTATATGTTGTAATCAAACTTGCTAAGAGGCTACAACTTTCCAACCACAAAAAAAGAAAGAATAATTAATTACATAATGTGCTACAGATGCTAACTACTACTTCAATGACAATCATGTTACTGTATATAAATTTACTGATTTAATATATTGTGTACCTTAAATGTACTTATGTCAAATATATGCAATTAAAAATCTGAAATAACTGCTACATATAACTACCAAATATACATGCTACCACTGCCAATTTGTACTTTTCATACAGATCTCTTTTCTAAACTCCAGACTTGAGAGCCAGCTGTCTTCCCAACCTCTTCATTAGAAGAAAACAGATAAAACCGAATATATCCAAAACCTAACTCCTAATTTTATTCCCCGTAAACTTGCTATATACCTATCTTCTCTCATGCCCCACACAGAATCCATCAGGATATTCAGTTGGTTCAAACATTAAAAATATAACCAGAACTCACAAGTTTTCACCACCTCCCCTGCTACCACCCCGATCTAGCAACAATCATCATATTAGTTAGGTGAGAGCAATTGCCTCCTAACCTGTCAACTTCTCAGTCTATACTCAAACAACAGCCACAGTGATCTTTTTAATAAGATCATGCCGCCCCCTCCACTCAAAGTCACCCCTCAAAGTCATCTACTAGATGATCTTTTCATACATAATCATAGCCAAAGCAATTATAATGTCCTACATACAAGGTTCTACACGATTTACACCCTCAATGCCTCACCTACTTCGTATCCTATCACATTCCTCCCTGCTTACTGAACTCAGTTATGGCCAAAGTGTCTGTCTTGCTCTTCAAAGAAAATCTGTATTGGCTACTGCCTTCTCCTAGAACCCTCTTTCTGAGATGTCCTCATGGCTAAAATCCCTTTGAGTTTTTATACAAAAGTAACAATTTTAATAAAGCGTACCCAGAACTTCCTATTAAAACAGCAGTGCTGGCCAGCAGTACTCCCAATCTCCCTACATTTTTCACAGGATTTAGAATACTTTAATATTATAAAATTTAGCTATTTGTTATGTTTATTATTTATCCATCTTCACCTGCTAATTAGACTGTAAGTTCCATAAGGGCAAAGATAACTTGTCTGCTTTGATGGCTGATATATCCCAAACGTCTACAATAGTACCTGGTACAAAGGAGACATTCAATAAATCTGTCAGGAGTGAGTAAAATATTTCTTTTTTGTTAGTTTTGAAAATATTTCTTGAATACCAACTATATAGTAAATGCATTCTAATTATATATTGAAGAATAAAAAAGAATAAAAAAGTTAAGAGTTCCTATCTCAATCTTCTATTACCACTGAATTTCCAAGTTTGTTAGTACAGAAACCATGACGAATTCTCTTTTGCTCATGCACTCTGAAGGAGTATACTGTAAATATTCATTAGGAATAGGTAGTGAAAAGATTAAATCATAAATTAGCTTATACTCAAAAATATTAGCTGAAATTAAGTTACACAGTGTCTCTAAAGTTGCAGTCTTAAGATGATTAAATTTATTTAAAATAACCTCGTGTTACTGCCTTGTCATTGAGAAAATGTTATTCTTTGAAATGGCTCTAGCAACGATCTAAAGGTCCAAATCCCTCCTAAGGTACCATATCTCACATATTAAACCAAACATAAAAATAACTGAAATATTTCTTTTTAAGTGAAAATATTTTTTCCTGGTACAAAAAAAAAAAAAAGCAGTCCTTTCTATATATTCTATTTCAGTAAGTGGTTTATTTTACATTTTTTTTAGTTATATTTTCATGGAAATTTCTTTGTAATAATTTTTGGCCCAATTACTGGTACTTGTTACTGACCTAAAGCAATGGAAAGAAGGACTACTTCCTTAAGAATGAGGAGCACATCACAAAAGAAATAAATGCATAAACTGCTGCTTTTAGTTTGAGATTCTTTAGAATTTACTTACTAATAAGTATGAGCAGTCATTAGAAACTGCTTTCAATAGCAATTTAATGCTCCCATTTGGAAAGGATATTTTTAAATAATATGAATAATCCTAAAAAGTGGATTATTTCAACAGAGATTTACTTTGTTAACATACATCAGAGCTTAAAACAAAACAAACAAAACAACCGGAAAAATCTGTCAATTCATCAAGTTGACATTTGAATTAAAAAATTAATAATAATTGCTTTCTTTACTTAAAATGCTGAGCCTTAAGTCTAGTACTGATCACTCAAATACATGAGTGATAGTTTTCTCCAAATATGTGAATTTTATATTATTTTTACATTGCACTATAAACCTATATTCAATTCAAACTCTCAAAAAGAAACATCAATTAAATCATTAACAAAGATGTTAATATTTACCCATTGGGACTCAATCATAAATCAGCAATTAATAAGTTTGCAAATAGTCCATTTGATTAATTATTACTAAATATCTGCCATTATTATTAAGCATAATACACTTTCGTATGGCCTAGGAGTTGGAAGAAACTTCAAACTAGACTGGAAAAAAAGGACTTTCATCCTATATAGCTGCCTTCTCTGACCACTACCAAAACTAGCTATAAAATGAATCTTTATATTGAAAGCTGTCTTATCCACATAATTGTTAGACTGAAATCATGCATTCAGTGCTGTCACACACTGTGATTCTATACACGATCCTGAAATCTCAGAGAGCAGTAAGCCACTTCTTCTGAGCTATCCTGTGTAACCAGAAACAAATGGAATAGAACTATTGGGTGTTTAAACTTCTGTTACCCTCCGTTTCATTCCCATCTCTGATCACTAGTTTTGGCTTTACCACACTGTAATGAACACATCACTGTTTAAGTCCTTCCAGAGGAAAACAGACTATTTTAAAAAGCCAAGAAACATCCTTGAACTTGTCAAAGACTTTCACCTATCTACTCCACTGAATACTGCAGTATTTGTAACAGATGTGGTACTGTGTTCTTCTGGGTTCACGTGGGATGTGCCTTGCTGCATGCTGGAATGTAAGAAAGGCTTTGGAGAGAACGGAGAAACCTACAGAGTACAAAGTCACTGTAAAGGCTTGTGGTTGTTTAGCTCAGCTGACTACGTACCTTGCCCAGTAATTCTCCCAATGTGACATCTTCGTGATTGAGAACCCATTTCTTATCCTAGGGCAAAGAAAAAGAACAACCTTTTTAGCCCAAGCAAGAGTGCATTTCCTGTAAGATGCACTTGAGGCTGTAGCCAAGAGAACTAAGGGGTATTTCATTCAGACCATTAAATCAACAGCATACTAACCAGTTGTAACTTCAGGAGGTTATGAAACAAATTTAAGAAATGTTACTAAAACAATTGGACTTTAAAATCTACATTACTAACTTCTATCAGAAATCTCAGCCTTCAAAATGACAGTATCCTTGTAACCAAAACAGAACATGCCCTTTCCCTCCCATCATAAAGCTTAGGCTATACTTAAATTTGTCATTTCATAACAGTTGTGTCATAAGTACTTGAGAGAATATTCGTGTACAATGCAAAATGTCCAATTCCCACTTGATCATCTAAGATTACATTACTAACAGCTAATTTTTCCACATGTAAATGGGCCAGAGTTTTAGCTGTCTATGACACTCTCTACATGTAGGTCCTTATCTTTCCCAAGTATTTTCTTATACTATATATAAAGCAACAAGTATCAATTACAATATCACTAGGGTACACAAGATTAGTAATGCAAACATGCCATTATAAAAGAGCATCCTATTATCTGCTCTCAGGAACTAATTACTGCATAGGGAATATTTTATCATATAAAAATCTCTTCTAGAAAAAAAATCAGCTAGGACACAACACAATACTGTAAGGTTAAAAAGGCACATATATATGTGTGTGTATATGTATATATATATATATATATTTTTTTTTTTTAAGAAAAAGGAACAAATAATGAAGCAAAAAAAAAGAGAGAAAGGAAGAAATGAAAGGAAAGAGGGCTGGAAAAACAGGAGCCTGGGGGAATAGAGAGAAGAAAAAGTATAGTCAGGCAATTAGTTATTATTCAGCAATAAATAGGAATTTATCCCAAATACATGAAACAGGTTTTTGCACAACATTTTGCCAAGCTAGCTAAAGCCAAATATACTTTAAATACATGCAGGCATAATGAGTCCATTTACATAAACTGTTACAAATGGACAACGTATCGATAATGATATAAATCAGACCAGTGGTTGCCTAAGGCAAGGGTTAAGGAAGATGGACTGCCAAGAAGGAATTGGGAGGTTTATGGAAAGATTCAATTTATTGATATTTTATTGAACTATATACATTTAAAACCTGTGAATTTGGTTGCATGTAAACTATTTCCATAAAGCTGATTTTTCTAAATGAAAAATGTAAAAAAGAAATATTACAAAAATGCTACTTTTCATTTCAGCAGCACTTTTGGGTTTAATTTCCACTCCACATACACTAACAAAAGTATACTACTAAAAAAAATGAAGTCTGACAGGCAGAAGAGTCATTAAAGTTACAAAACTGATTTGTTGAGAACTTTTTCCACTTCAAAAAGTGGTAACATAAGATCACATCAACTTTCTCCCAGCAAACCACTGAAAAACACTAGATAAAATTTAAGAACAAAAGCAAGAAAATCCCAAATTTTTGTTCAAGAGCTACTGAAATAAGAATAGCTGCGATGCTAAATCAAGGTCAAGGGAAGGCCAAAAGTCAAGTTAGGTAGAGAAAAGTTAAATTTATGTTATGAAAGGGATGTCTGGATGGAACTGGAGGGTATTATGCTGAGTGAAATAAGTCAATTGGAGAAGGACAAACATTATATGGTCTCATTCATTTGGGGAATATAAAAAATAGTGAAAGGGAATAAAAGGGAAAAGAGAGAAAATGAGTGAAAATATCAGAGAGAGAGACAGACATGAGAGACTCCTAACTCTGGGGAAACAAACAAGGGGTGGTAGAAGGGGAGGTGGGGTGACTGGATGACAGGCACTGAGGGGGGCATTTGATGGGATGAGCACTGGGTGATATGCTAGATGTTGGCAAATTGAACTCCAATAAAAATAAATAAATAAATAAATAAATAAATAAATAAATAAATAAATAAATAATAAAAATAAAAAATTCTAAGAAAAAAAAAGAAAAGCTTGAAATGGCCTTTAAAAAAAAAAGAAAGAAAGAAAGGGATGTCTGGATGGCTTAGTGGTTGAGCAGCTGCCTTCCGCTCAGAGAATGATCCTGGGGTCCTAGGATCAGGTTTCCCATCAGGCTCCCCGCAGGGAGCCTGCTTCTCCCTCTGCCTGTGTCTCTGCCTCTCTCTCTCTCTCTCTCTCATGAATAAATAAATAAAATCTTAAAAAAAAAAAAAAAAAGAAGACCCAAAAGTCAAGACCTTTTGGGCTACCTTTAGATTATGTTGATTTTGAAAGTAGCAGGCAATAGGTAAAACAACAATAAACAACCAGACACACACTAAATGAAGCTCTTTACCAAAAGAGATAATGAAATAAAAACAAAAATGATGAGTAAATATAATAGACTTTACTTCTCTTGCATTCTTTAAAATATGCTTGACAAACAGAAAGTATAAAATTTTCTGATGAATTTTTCGACTGACTTAGATGCAATACATATGAAAAGTACAAGGAAGGAAAGGTATAGAGACCCACACTGTAATAACGTTTCTGCATTCTACTTGAAGTGTTAGGGTATTGATTTTTTGTATATTGTGAAAAGTTAAATGTTTTTGATAGTTTCTAGAGCAAGTACGAAAAAACAAAAAACAACGAAAGAATAAAACTACAAAGCAACATAATCAAAAATACAAGAGAAAAAAAATGTAATGGCATAGTAAAAAAGTGTTCAAATAAGTCAAAAGAAGGGGAAAAGGAAAACAAAAAACAGAATAAAATATACAATGGTAGTCCTAAGTCCAAATGTATCAATAATTACATTAAATGTAAATTGTCAAAATACACAATCTAAACGACAAATTTTTAAAAAAGAATCCTAAAAAGCAACTGTATGCTGAAGAAACTCAGTAAGTATATTTAACTGTTTATACTAGTGTAATATAAACTTGAAAGTTTATTCAGTAGATTTATTATAGCTTACAACTTCAAACTTCATCCATTCTAGCCCCGGAATGGCAAAAATTAACTGACTTGAGATTCATCGTTTTCTTTTCCTTTCCCGAAAGGGACTACCGTATAAATGGTGAATAGAATAGTGAAAACTAGAAATACACACCTGAGACACTGTTCAAAGCTAGTCTGCTACTACCATAGCAATAAGACAACAGAATGTAAATACCCTCTTTTGGAAGAAAGCAGGACTTCTGAAGAGAGCAGAGCAGTCAAGAGGTCTGGTCTAGCTCATAGTGTATACAAATGAGTTCACTCTACTCAGAGAGACTACTAGGAAAGATTTTTTCCAGGACTCACTTGTGGCACAGTTGTATTACAACAAGAAGACAAAACAGTCTGGAATATACCACGCTATGCCTACTTACTAAAAGAAAGCCAAAATGTTGAAATAGCATGCTGGATAAAGAATGAAGCTCAGAGCCTGGCCCCAAACATATCCTATTGTATATATACATATGCTCAGTTATACTAGAAATTCTAAGATAAGTGAACACAAAGCTAAATTAAACATGGTCTTTATTTTTAAGGACTTTAATATAAGCATATTGAAAGTCAAATCTGAAAGAAACGTGTGAATAGTATGTAGTTTGAACACTGAGGTATATGTGGTCCATATAAAGAACATGGTTAAAAGAGGCACACAACACATGGAAAAGTTTCCCAGGTTTCTCAAAATAACTTTCCCTTAATTTTCTACAAGTTACTAAATAAAGAAAAACCATAAAGCTCTTGCTCTAGGTGTTCAGAAGTCATACACAGTGTTTGGGGGGAAGAAAACTCTATGCTACTCTCCAGGATTCTTCAAAGGGGAAAAAAAAGGTTAAGTTAATGCTGTTTCGGGTAGAAAAATGAGACACAGTAGGGTATATATAACTGTACATGAATGAAGCAGAGAGGCTGCGCAGAAATATCCATGTTTCTATTATCTACCAGTTGATAATTGTCATCGTCTACCAACACCTGCCTTCTCTCCAGACTCCTCTCAAACTAAAGGATTTGTTTTTTCTAGTTCACTCCCAACAAATTTTCTCCTAGTCTACCATGCTGTCTTTGCAATGGGTCCCAAGTCACTATCATTATTATTTTTTTTTAAAGGAGAAAGAAAGAAAAAGGTGGTGAGGAGGGAAGGCTCCACATCCAGCATATAGTCTGACACAGGGCTTGAACTCACAACTCTGAGACCATGAGCTGAGCTGAAATCCAGAGTCCAACACTTATCGACTGTGCCATCCCTCCATCCCAAGCCACCACTTCTATGGGACTATACTGGAAAGGAAATGATGCAAGGCTGGGGAGGAACATAGTCCTGGAATTTGAAGACAGAACTCCTAAAGCATATATGTATATTCCATTAGACCCTTTTAAATGGTGGTTATGATCTATACGTTCATTACATTACCAATAATCACTGCTAGCATTACTTCTTGAAGAAAGCACATTTCAAAAAAATGAAATAAACTTTTAGAGTACACTATTCAAAATGTTACTTAAAATATCACATGAGAAATATAGCAGATGATAAAGACTTGGGAAAAAGAAGCCGTAGCTAGAGAAATCACAAAAAGCTTCACAAAGAGGTAGAATTTGAGATAACCTTGACCATGAATGTAATTCTAATACACTAAAATGAGAAAAATACATGCAGCAAAAGCACAGAAAGAAGGGAGAATCTTCTAAAGAGTAAATACAACATTATGGTAAAAGAAAAGAAATCTTAAAGGAGAAGAGTGTTGGATGAAAAACTAGAAGTATACTTTCTGACCAAACCATGGTGTTTTAAATGACAAGCCATCTAGTATTCACTTAATTTCATAACCAGGAGTCCCTAAATTTTTATTATTCAACCCATTAAATTTTTCTTTAAATGGGAGCATTTGCTCCACTACACTGATATATAATATATATTATATAGCCTCCTCAAAACAAGAAATTAAAATGAAATGGCTACTAGACAAATTGGTGTAAATATAATCCTTCCTGCTCCTTTCCACTAAGTACAACTATAA